AAAAAAAATTATTAGTAGTATATTTATTCATATAAAATACATAATGAGGGTATAAAATTATAATAAAATGTGATTATCACTAGTGACTATGAGTCGCTTCGGATATTTGAGTGTCCAGCTTATTACCATGTCAATCATGGTAAATTGAATCCGAGGGCGAGGAAAGCAGTCTTTGTGGGATTTAGAGATGGAGTTAAATGCTTCAAGTTATGGGATCCACAGGACAAGAAGATAGTTATTAGCAGGGATGTCACATTTGACGAGGCGTACATGATGAAGCCTCAAGTTCCTTAGCAGGTGGAGGAAGACCAGACAGTTGGGATATCACAGCAGGTGGAGGATGATGTGACTCCACCAACTCCAGATAGCATTGTATCCATTGAGGCTCCTACAGAGGTGACACTGGGAGGAGATGAGATGACAGTCGGGCATTTAGAGGATACAGTGGATGTTGGGACTCAGGAATAGGGTCATGTTCAGGAGTCCATTGCAGCTAATAGACCAAGAAGAAACATTCGTCGGCCAGCTAGATATAACGATGTCATGGTTGCATATGCTTTATCAGCAGAAGTCGTTGATGATTTGGTTCCTTTTACATTCAAGGAAGCAGAGTCAAGCTCTGATTCGAATAGGTGGAGGGAAGCCATGGAGGAAGAGATGCAGTCTCTTCATAAGAACGGCACTTGGGAACTTGCAAAGCTACAGAAAGGTAAGAAGGCTATTGGATGCAAGTGGGTATATGCAAAGAAAGAATGATCTTCTATTGGAGACATTCGGTACAAAGCCAGATTGGTTGCCAAGGGTTATGCACAGCTTGAGGGCGTTGATTACAATGAGGTATTCTCACCTGTTGTAAAGCATTCGTCGATTAGAATTCTGTTGGCATTGGTGGCACAGCTGGATTTGGATTTGGTCCAGATGGATGTGAAAACAGCCTTTCTACATGGAGATTTAGAAGAGGAGATCTACATGACACAACCTATGGGATTCAAAGCTGCAGGAAAGGAAGAATTGGTATGCAAGCTGAAGAAGTCTCTTTACGGATTGAAGCAATCACCGCGACAATGGTACAAGAGATTCGACGGTTTTATGATTGGCCGAGGGTACACGAGGAGCCCATATGACCCGTGTGTTTACATGCACAAGCTACAGAATGGTGAGTATATCTATTTGCTATTATATGTTGACGATATGCTCATAGCTTCTAGAAATACTTCAGCTATTAGAAAGTTGAAAAAGAAGCTGTCATCCGAATTTGAGATGAAGGATCTTGGAGAAGCAAAGAAGATATTGGGTATGGAGATTGAGAGAGACAGGGTGAAGGGGAGGTTGAAGTTGACCCATAGGAATTACTTGCAGAAGATGCTGAAGAAATTCAGTTATGATGGCAATGCCAAGGCGGTGAGTACTCCATTAGCTCCCCACTTTAAGCTATCAGCTAAGATGTCACCTGTTTCAGTTGAGGACCGGGAATACATGTCCAAAGTTCCATATGCCAATGCTGTGGGTAGCTTGATGTATGCGATGTTGTGTACAAGGCCAGATTTGTCACAGGCCGTGAGCATGGTATCCAGATACATGCACGACCCCGGGAAGGGTCATTGGGAGGCCGTGAAGTGGATTCTACGGTATATCAAAGGTAGCGTAGATGTTGGTTTGATATTTCAGAAGAATGAGAAGAACGAGCAGGATTGTATTGGTTACGTGGATTCTAATTATGCGGGGGATCTGGACAAGCGTCGGTCTACTAGCGGATATGTGTTTACACTAGCAGGAGCACCGGTGTGTTGGAGATGCACATTTCAGTCTACAGTGGCTCTCTCCACTACGGAGGCAGAGTATATGGCGTTGACTGAAGCTGTGAAGGAGGCTTTGTGGTTGCAGGGATTATTGGAGAACTTGGGGATTGCACAGGAGACCCTTCGGGTATATTGTGATAGCATGTCGGCTATCTATTTGGCGAAGAACCAAGTTTATCATGCACGCACGAAGCATATCGATGTCAGATTCCATTTTGTTCGTGACGTTTTGGATGAAGGAGACGTCAGGTTAGAGAAGATCCACACGAAGGAAAACCCTGCGAATATGTTGACCAAAGTTGTTTTAGGAGTGAAGTTTGGTCAATGTTTGGAGCTTTTGAACATTCTTCAATGTTGAGGCCTTCGTAGGCCATTTGGGTGAACTACGTTCGGCTTGATTCCTTGGGCAAGAGGATACGTAGGCAGTCTTTACGATGCAGCCGGTTTGGATTAGTTGATGGGGTTGAGATTGTTTGAGCTCTCGTTCGGAATTCCGACTTGTTGTCGAACATGTGGGACTTTTGGATGCTTTGGTGTCGGCTCAGTTTTGGAAGAAACTTCACCGAGGTGGAGAATTGTGAACATGGACACGTGAGTGTAATCATGTGAAGCCAGTGAAAAAAAAACCAGCGGACAAACTCTTTGGCCCACGCGGTATTACCAAGGCCCACCCGTTTGTCCTTTGTATAAATGTATGAACCTAGGGTTTTGTGAAAAGGTAGCAAGGGCTGGGGTGTTTTGCGGCTGAAGGAGAAAAACACGAGCAAGTACAAGGCTGGAGATTTTCCTTTAGGCGGCTGCAGCAGACGAAAAGTGCAAGGAGCTTTGGTCTTGGGTGTGCGGCTGCAGAGGAAACATTGGGCGGCTGCAGGAGTCTTTCTGTTCCTTTGAGAGAATATTTGTAAGAGGGATTTGAGAGTTTGTTTGAGAGGGTTTAGATTGTGAGATTGTAAACCCTAGTTGTATCTCTCCCTCTAATAGTAGACCGCTTCAGATTCTTGTTTCCTTGGTGAGACGGGAATTCTTATCGATCTAATCTCTCTTGTTGTGCTGCTGAAGTGCTGCCGAAATTTTCGCTGCGCACAACATTCTCCTCATTCGTCTATGTATGTAGGCTATAAGTCAAACTGTGTATATCCGTGTGTTTTGTGTTCTCAATATTTTTGGTGTTTTTCGTGTGATTTATATTAGATTTTCTTAGAGATTTGTCATAACAGAACACGGCCATGAACTCTGCCATGAACTCTACACATTGGAGAGTTAAATAATCCTTCTACTTTGGAGAATTACAGAAACTCCCATGAAATTTTGAAAAGTTTCACCTAAACTTTGGAGCAAATACAATTCGAGGGTTTGTCGGGAAAGAAAAAAATAGGGACGAAGGTTAATGTTAAGATTTTACTAAAAGAGAGTGTTATTTTTTTAAAGTAGTGTTTTAGCATGTGAAACTTTACAAAAGTTTAGGAAGATATTGTGAAACGGATTCTAATCCTCCTTAATAAAAAGAAGTAGTGGAAAGATCGCTGCATTATTAGAATTCTTGATTGCCTAATTGTTGATTATGACTTGTCTTTGAATACAAATTAAGTATGAGTGCAATGCATAGGGGTCTTTTGAGTGCTAAATTTAGAATGAATTTTAATCACTCACAAAACAATCAACGATTAATATAAAAAATTAGTCTCTTTACTACTTTTCTGTAGCGGAGACCCACCCAAATTCATTATGAAACTCCTAAAATTTTAGAAAGTTCTTCTATAATTTTTAATATTCCATGGCCATTCTGTAAATTTTACCCAAACTTGATGGGATTATCCGAAGCATTAATTTCACATAACCCCAAACAACCCCCCACCCCCACGAAAAAAACACTTTAGGGGATTATCTGAAGCGTTAATTTCACAAGACCCCCCAAAACGTTGTTTATCTCACTTTAACTCCCTTGAACTATGGGATGTCTCACAACAACCCTCCTCCTAAACTTTAGCGTATCACATCTAATCCCACGCTTGTAATTTGCAAATAACTAAGGTTTTGTTGAGAGAGGGAAAAAAAATTCAAATTTTAGGCGGAGAAGTATGTTGCCTTTAAATAACAGGTGATAAATTCTGATAATTTTTCATTCAAAGACATTTTAGTTATTTACAAATTACAGATAAAAGATTTAGGTGAGATAAGCTAAAGTTCGGGATGGTTTTATGAGACACCACCTAGTTTAACAGCGTTAAATAAGATAAACAAGGTTCCAGGAGAGTTACGCGCAACAACCCTCAACTTTTACCTTCACTCAGTTTCCCTTAACTTCCCTTCACCCCCTACGAATCCAAACAGGCCCTTAGGGATTATTATGTGAAATTAACCCTTATCTGAAATTTACCCTATCATAGGCTACACCAACATCTAGAAGTCTGCTTGCATTGAGAATAGCACCCTGCATACTTCAATGAGGATAGTTGCCTCGGGTAACAGAGCAGCGAATCTTGAGTCATGTGTACAAAGGAGAGGTCGTGGTCATGAATTTATACCTTCAGAGCATGAGATGGAGGACATGAATAGACAGTGCATTTGTTATTACTGCAAGCACATCAAATGTTAAGAAGGTAAAACAATAAACTAAATTGAAATGAAGAATAACTAAATTTGACAATAATGCATCATCGTCGATGGTTCATATTTTAACATGTGCTTATAAGTTAGGCGCCCTTTCATAATGAAAATTTTCAAATCAAGGAATGATACTTCTCTTTTAAATCCATTTAAATCCATTACCAACAAGATTTAAATTTAAGTTACGCTGATATTATGTCAAAAGTCTTTGTTGTTGCACCAAAACATGGCGTCATGAAATAATTACTTAAAGAAAAACCCTTGCCAAGCTCAGTTTCTATTTTGGCCATGTAACAACTGTAAGCATCCCCAAAAGTGTACGTATTAACTCACTATCGGTTGCTCAAAGGCATAACTATTCAAGAAATAGTGGTCAAGCTCCCAAGCCACATGCATAATTTAGAGGGTATTTTTCAATATATTGATCTACCTCAAATGATAATGATGATGATGACGACGACGATGATGATAACAACAACATATGCATGCACATAAAGCGATCAAAGATACAGAATCTGAAATAATATGCGTCACCAGAGCTGATACCTGGTTTTCCTCCAAAGGAGAGAACTTTTCAGAAATCAACAAATTTTGATCACTTGTCAATATCATTTCTCCAAATTAGCTTACATCAACAGCCAAGTTTAATATGAGATAATCTAAACAGATTGACGAACAATTTTGTACACAAAGGCAGGAAGTAAGATCAGCGATCAACAGTAGAACATAAGCTTCTTAACACTATCTTTGATCTTAGGCAACGGTGATGTTAGAGGAATCGCGGATCTTGATAATGTCATTGCTGTGCCTCTAATTCCCATGGCGTCCGACCTATCAAGATACAACCTCCCTCTATACGCAGCAAGATGCGCGTAATAAGCCGGTGGAACAATTGATACTGGCTTAGTGCACCTAACAAAAGTGTAACAAAGATCATGAATCAATTTCTGAAGCTCATCGGATTTAAAATGGTTCTCATCCCAAAGGACATGGTAACGAGTTGGCCTACTAGTTCCCCTCATCCCCCAATGACTACAAATATAAAAATCAAATTCTCGTGGTTGCGTAATCACAGTATCCACAACTGTTCCCGGTGGAATATTCTCGGAGAAATGGTGACCGCGAGAAAAAGCCTGTTTTCTATCGTTAAGGAAGAGTCTTGTATGATGCCTCTTTTGAACTACTAAGAAAGTTATTGACGGCTTGTAACCTTTGAACCTGGAACAAGCTGCCCGAATTGCTTGCAACTCTTTCTCAAGAACCTTATAGAACTGGGTCTCGCTCACTCCATCACGAAAGAAAATAATTCTACTAGGAAGCTTGCCAACCGAAACTAGAAACTCCTGAAATAGCTCTTCTGACATTTTCTCCAGCTCTTCAATAATTTCTTGCCGGTGTGTTTGTGATCTCATTCTTGAGATGTACTTGTTTGCCTCCGGCCAGTTCATGCTACCAACAACCGCAGCAATTGATGGACTCGAATCATCAAGCGGGTGTGGATGAGTGACATCAGCACCCATAAAGATTACGGGCTCATCATCAGCGAAAAGTCTGGGGATTTGGCAGGGCAAAGTGTTGTAAAGTAACACGTTGCACCCTCCAAGCTTAGCATTTATCTTTAGAGCTATATTTGCCAAGAATTGTGAGGTAGGTTTCATGAGATTAGGATATAAGCAGCATTGGCTCACCACACCGATGTTTGTCTCAGCAATTCTCTTCAGATCAGCATACCCTTTGTGCTTCTTCTCCATTACACATATAAGCAGCTGAAGGTTGCCTGATATCGCTTCGTGGAGTTTCCTTAGCTTCGATTCCAAATGGGACGCATGATCCAGTATTTGGATTGGCTCAAATGATGGGCTAATTGTTGCATCCTTACTTAGTGATATCCCGAGTTGCTGACACCTATTTGATAGCTGGCTTATGAATCGAGGAATCGACGATCTCTGCGCTTGGGTGCCACCAAAACTGATGATAGTCCATCTCGTGATATGAGAACCCTCAGCTACATGGCTATTGAGCAAGTTCCATTGGCGATCATGGCAATTTGGAGTTATATCTTTGATGATCCCACCACTGCCGAACCTTAGCTTGGGAGGTTGAAGTACTCTTCCAGTAAGTTGAGTCATCTCTCTTGAAACTTGGAGATCAAACTCTCTCAGGTAGCGTCCACTGTACAAGACACTAAATGAGGAATTCTGAAAGTAAACAAAATCTAAACTGTGCTGTAGTTTTGACAGGTGTTTCTCATAGAAACCACCCCAAAAATAGGGTGGGAATATGAAAACCACCTTTAAAGTTCGATTAACAGAAACACTCATTCCAGGGTTTCTACTAGCAATCAACCACATTGACCTATTTTCAAGTGAAATTTCCGTTGAACAAAATGCTCTAAGAAAGACACGTCACATAATAGGCATGTTTGTTTTTAGGGCATTTTGGGAATTTCAATCGGGAGTTCACAAGAAAATAGCCCAAGGTGGTTGATTCCTATCGGATCCCTCTAAAGATAGTTTTCTCTATTAATTGAATTTTAGAGGTGATTTAAAAAAAAAAAACCTAGTTTCTATTATCACTAAAATACGTGCAAGTGATGAACTGTAACGACTTAAAAAAATCCCTTACCTTGTTGGACCAGTCATTCCATTGACAACACCATTAATAATATCCTTCCTTTTTGACGGACTTTGGCAGCCCATCTTAAGGATTCTTGAAGTTTGTTCATCAGATAGCTTTCCAAGAAACTTCTGGCCTTCACAAACCACGCAAAGCTCCATTGGAAGATAACATGGTTTACTTCTACTTATCTGCAAGCACGGAAGATTCCTGAATTGAATCTCATGGTTGTATTGATCCTTGAAATAATCCACCAATATCATCTCCCTTCCATCTCTATCCCTGAACTTGAGATTCTCAGTGGATTCATTAGTGAGGCCAAAGACCCGATATCTTTGATTAGTTTCACGGTGACAAACAAAGATTCTAACATTCTTCAACACTTTCTCCACTTCTCGCTTTTCTTCTACCATCAGCCCTCTTGTTTTCCTCTGAGAAAGATCCTTTAAAGTTTCGCAGCGTTTTTCGATGTACGGAATAACGCCAATGCTCTCGTGAAATGCCATCACGGAGGAATCCACATTGAGGGCTAGGCCTTGTTGTGTTGGTCTAAGACCTTGAAAGAAACCTCTCAATCCAATAACACCTCCACCAATGTCTTTAACTCCTCCCATAGAGGTTGAGTACAAGCATCTCCCAACTTGGAAGCAACTCTCCGTTGAGCTCTCTCTTAATACAACATCCAAGGCATGAAGGTAATCTTGAGGTAACGGGACCCCATCCTCCTCTTCTTTAAGGTATTTGCTCAAATCCTGTGCGCTCAATTTTGACACTCGTCTTACGTTCACCCTGAAAAGTTTTTGCTTTTGGGTACCCAACACGTTGCACGAAGATTTGGGTACGGGAATTGGAAGGTTAATGAAGAACTCAAGACGATCTTCTTGGAACTCAACGGCACTGTACAGATTCTTTCCGCCATCAAATACAGGAATGGCATCGGATAAGGTATCAGAATTTTCTTGGACTAGCTTTTTCTTAATCAATCTTGCAATTTCTTTGGAAGGACGTGGAGATATAGCAACATCATAGTGGAAAATTTTCTGAGATTGATCGAATTGGACTAGGAAATGATTCGCGAGGAGGGAAATTGGAGAACCCTCTCTGCCGCCGGAATCTGGCCTCTGTGCAGTCACAATAGTTTGTGGTATGGCTAGATTTTCTTGTTTGCAGTCTAAAGATGGTGCACTTATGTTGGCAGCAGGTTCTTTTCTTGGTACCGCATTTTGTTGGGCAACTTCAATAGCTGCTCGGGTATCCAAATTTTGGAAAGAGATCAGTTAAGTAGTCTAGTGTAGTTGAGGGAATTCCAATTAAAACTTAGGTAAATTACAATGGGTTTCTTATTACTGAATCTAGAATATATTTGATCACATGTTTAACATTAAGATTATATATTTACATAAAAAATAACCAAGTAAATACTAATATCTTATTATGATCAAAAGGTGAAAAAATGCCTACATATAAAATGCAATAATCACATACGTAGACCGGATTCATATTTGAGTATTTTTTTTTTTTTGCCCTCCATTCTTCGTACTTATGTTTCCTCCAAAAATGTTCATGAATTGTGATAAAAAAAAATTGTAGATATACATATTTTTATTTCCCCCCTTTTCCTCAGTCAAGGACATAAACAAGATCATCTAACTCACCAACATTATCTTCTCTATTTCATCGAGCCTACTTCCACTATAAGTCTCAAATAGCTTCATTTCACTAAGAAAAAGGAAAAAGGAAAATAAAAATATCCAACACTAGCTACAAATGTACTTTTGGACCTCAATGCTAAGAAAGGTAATATCTTGAAGATAGCCAAATAACCGACATAGAATCAGAAGCTAGAACTAAAGAGCGTTCGAACGTAACAAACAATTGGTTGGAAACCAAAAGGATAACTAAACCAACATATCAAAAAATAAATAAATAAATAAAAAATAAATAAAAAAGAAGACTTAAAGTTATAGTTATACATACATTGAGGTAGAGGCGAGACTACATCAACTTGATCCCTGAAGGAAGAAGCATAAACATAAGATGGACAAGGCTTTTGATTCCAAAAGACTCTGTGAATCAGAGGCTTTGGTAGAATCGGAGGCAGCGGTAAAAGAGCTGGGTAAGCTTGGCATTTCCTCATTCCCTTCAATGGTTTGTTGCATTTCTTGTTTTTGTTGCTCCTCTTCATCTCCACGGCCTCCTCCATTGCTCTCTCTCTCTCTCTCTCTCTCTCTCTCTCTCTTGTGTTTGTTTATGTAATAAGTAGAGGAGAAAGAAGAATCAAAGAAGAGAAAAGAAAAAAAGGACGGGGCAGACAGAAAGGATGTGGGTAAAGAGATGCTGAGCTCAGGACAAGGGAGGGAATTAATTATAGTGTTATTACTTTTACATTATTTTTCTTTGTTTTATTTATATACTATTTGGGGGTGTACTTTTTTTCCTTCCAAGCGAGAGGAGAGGAGAGATGAGTCGATAAAAGAGTAGTAAATATGCCAAAGCAGAAACAAGGAAGGGGGGCAAAGAGAAAGGAAGGAGGGGGAGCAAAGGGAAGTGGATTTATGAGTTGTTTCCTTAAAAAAGGATTGGAAAAGGGATGCATTGATCAAGAAGATGCATTTCTTTTACCTGCTTTGGGCCCAACCCATACCCCTCCAGTTAATGCTCTTTGGTCCCTGCTCCCATCACGAAAAAGGTAATTTGGGCAATCTGAATGTTTGAAGTCAAACTGAGAGAGAGAGAGAGAGAGAGAGAGGGAGGAGCAGGCTATTTTTTTTTATTTTTTTTTTTGGTTTTCTTTTGTAAAAGTTGGCAGGGATCCAAACTTCCGTAGATTGTTTCTGATGGCGCTTAGTTTGTTGAATTAACTATTAATTAATTAATTGGAGGTTTAAGCACCGAGGACTCACTGAAAAGCCTGATCATGGGAAAAGGGCAGTTTTCTTGATTGATGGCCCCTATTTTTTTAATGAATGGCTAATTGGTCGTTCTCTAAGGTTTCGTAGTCCAATGACGATCAAAATTATCATTTTGAACTAAGAGCTGAAATTGTTACGAAACATCTTCCGAATTATTTGAACTCAAAATTAGAGCAGCTCCTAACAATTCTCTGACACTTCTACGAAGTCTTTAACCGATATCTTAACTCCTTAAGTCTATATATAGTTATTATTTTCATTCTATTAAGTTTCTATGGTAATTTTTTTTTATATAAAAAGAGTTTCTACGGTGATTCACCATAAAAAAGTTTCGCACTTTATCCACAAAGAAAACAGTGTTTTTCGCTACCTTTAGGGCGAAGAACTCTCATGAGGACTCCAAAGAATGGTATTAGTAACTATATGTGATATTGATCTCAAATTATTTATGGGAAAATGTATTAATGTATATTTGTGATTTTACTAGCCAAAGGAGAAAAACAAAAAAAAAAGATAATGTGTGATTTAGAGTTCTATTTATTGGATAAATTAACAGTTGAATATATTTGAGCAAAGCTTTAAAAGAGAAGAACACAAAGGGACAAATATGAAGATACCAATCTTTGCTTTAGTTGGGCAACAACACCCGTAAAAGATTTGAACTTTGAAAGTCACAGGACATATATTTGTCAGGGAATAAACTAAAGAGCTCAAAACCCAAAGATTACGGTCTACTATCTTCTAGTTTTATCTCCAAAAACAACGTGCTCGTAGAAAACCCAAAATCAAAATTTTATGGGACTACGTATGAGATTTTGTGCATTGATTTTAAAAATAAGGACCAAAATTGAGCACCTCAGTGCTGCGGTATTTGCATGGAAAAAAAAACAAAAAGGCTAAATGATGTGAATATTTAATTTACAAATATATTGTGTATTTAACCACTTACATAAAAACATAACAACTTACGTTGTATATCGAATTGGTATAGTACAATGTGAATTTAAATTATGAATTTTTGGCTAAGATTTTTTTTTTCTTTTTGTCTGTCTTTATTTTTTTTCTTTTTGTTTAAGTAGGTGAGTTTGAAAATAAATGTAGGTAAATCCTTTGTATAATTTGTAGGAAAAATACCCATCTCCATTTGTCAATGACAAGGCATTACTATGAAAAACTAAAAAATATATATGACGATTTAAATAGTGGTTTAAAAAGATAAAATATATCTAAACACAGAGAATAAAAACACAACTAATTACAACACAATATAGAAACTTACTTTTTAAACCAAATAGCAAAAATACAAAGTGAATTTCAAAATAATTTGTTGAAGTATTTTAAGACTAATAGTGACTTTAGAAGTGTGTGGGTTTAACATAAGTAAAGATAAAACTATAAGATTATAGAGAAAAATCTTTCTGCAATTGAGCATTTAAAAATAATTGGGGACTAGTTTTAGACTCGTGCGATGCATAGATTTATTCAATGAGGAGAAAACTAAAAAAGATAAACTAAGGAAACTATTAGTCAAATATTATTGGATCTGAGATACAAGCCTAGAGGGAGGAGTGAATAGGATTGCATACTATTTTTCAATATCACAAATAATATGCAGCAAAAAGAAAACAAATAACTAAAAATAGCAAACAAAACAACTTAACTTAGACAAATCACAAAATCGGAATAGACAATAATTTTATAGTGGTTCGGATAAATAATCCTACATTCACTATTCCTTTTCTTGAAAAGGATTCCTCATTATGTGAAAGTTCTCCTAAATTATAAATCCGATTTAGTAGACTTACAAGACCCAAATTCTAGTTTCTTCCAAACTAGTCATCTAACCTAAACTTTTCATATATGAGTATCCCCCTAACCCTAACTAGTGATCAATTTCTCAATTTAACCCAATTTGAGTACGTTGTAAACCCTCAATTCACCTCCGCTTGAGACACTGAAAAAATAAGTTTAATACAAAATATTAAATACTAATTAAGCGCAATATAGAAAGATATTACAGCCTATTGGTTATGCAAACTGTTCTAGAAATGATTGAAGCATGTATCTGGAAGAACGAGGATAGAATTGAGATTCCAGGATAACACTCTTGGAATGGTAGATCATCAGATAATAAAGAATGACATCGAGAATACTTTCTGAGAAGACTGAGCGGGATTATTTCTTCAAGGTTGAAGCAATCTCCCCATTGTCTGGCTCCACTCTTTTCGCTTTTCTTTCTCTCATTGGTCAAGAACTCTTCTAAAATTCATGAGGAAAGAGCCTATTTTTCCCCGACAGTGAACAACTAAGACTGAGTCCAAAGTAGATCAAAAATAGCAAATCCAGCGATCAACCATCGATAAACATCAATGGTCAAGTTGTTACTATTGATGGTTAAGTTGTAACCATCGACGATTTGAACCTCTCTAGACATTTTCATCATTATTGGTTCTTAGCACTATGATGGTCCATAGGTTAGATAGAGAACTTTTGGAAAAGTTTTTATAATAGTGATTTCGATAACCAAGTTAAAAGTTATATCTTGTGTAAGTTTCAGTCTCGATATATGTGATCATCACATATTATTATATTTTTATACTATCATTCTCTATTTTATTTTGAATAAAATATTTTCTAATAATGTTGTTATAGTGTTCCTATTCGCCAAATGTATAGCCATTTTCTAGCAACAGACAGATGTCCCTTACATGCACTACTCAAACCAATTTGACGGTCAAAAGCAAGGATCCCGACTTAGCCGACTTGCCGAGTCGACATCTTCTCGGGTCGACTCGAATGGCGGTACTTATCGGTCCTCTTATCGAAGATGACTAGCTATGAGCCCAATCGACCAGTTATTTGATGTCTTGTGATGTTGACTCGAAAGACGTTTACTTTTTGGCCAAGCTAAAGGACGACTTTAAAATTACCTTAGAGGGAGAGGGGGTGAATATGGTATATGCTAATCTAATCCAATATTAATTCTAAAATAAAACTTATTAACAATTACATCCTAGCAAGTATGATATTTAACAAGATATAAGCAAGGGTATGTAATTAAAACAAGAATGATATAAACATGAGACAATGACGATATAGAAAGCAATAAACAATAAGCACAAATAATACGTCAAGGCAAACTCAAACACATAATATGATCACGGAGTTTGGTCACCCTCGATCTACGTCTCCGATCCTCACTCACGAGGAGAATCTCCACTATCACAACCAGATTTCAACATTCACTAAAAACATTTACACAATCGGTTTTCTAGCTCACCGAAAACTTTCACAACTCACATAATTATAATCACACAATACACCCTCTAAGTGTTAGCCTAGCCCGTGTCGCCTTCCTCAAGTGCTCGAATTTACTACCTCTTCCTAGACTTTACTATTGACATCACTCCTCTTGGAATCGACCATGTCTCTCAAAACACACTTCTCTCGATGTACTTGTGTATTACATGTTAGACCCTAGAAGGGGGGGGGATGATTAGGGTCTTATGCTAATCTAATCCGATTTATGTCAATTAAAGCTAATAACAAGTTATCCTAGCAAGTATGAAATACAATAAGATATATGAGCTAGGATAAGTAATATGAACAAAGAGATATATCCGAGCAATGAGATATACTATGAGATATATGCAAGGATATACAAGTTAACACAAGGGTGAAATAAAAATAAACAAAACAAGAGTGATAGTGTGTAAATAAACAATACAAACACATAATATGATCACGGAGTTCGGACCTTCCGTCCTACGTCTCCGCTCCCCACTCCCAGGGAGAAATCCACTATCATAACCGGGTTTTCTACGCTTACCCGAACAACATTTACACCTCACACTCGGTTTTCTAGCTAACCAAAAACTTTATAACTACACACTTGCAATCACACTCTATACCTTCAATTGATGATCTCCTCAAGCTCTTGTGAAATTGTTTTCACAAAATTAATTTCTCAAATGCTTAAAAGCTTTTTAAACAAACTTAAACCAACCATAAACCCTTGTTAAAACTTTCTTAAATCTCAAATGCTTAAAAGCTTTTTAAACAAACTTAAACCAACCATAAACCCTTGTTAAAACTTTCTTAAACTTGTTTAAAACTTAAACCAACCATAAACCCTTGTTAAAACTTTCTTAAACTTGTTTAAAACACTCTCATGGTTGTTTCTGATAGAAGGGGGTTTGAGGGGTTTATATAGGAAGAGAAACCAACAACAAAAACCCCAAACAAAAGACCAGAAATCCTAACGAATCAGAAATCTGATTCTGTACAAAATATGACCATTGGGCGATCGGCGGTCGACCGTGGGAAAATCGTAGTCGCCTCTGAAAAATTTCCTGAGCCTCTGGACTCAGGGGCGGTCGATCGTGGCGGTCGACCGCAAACTGATATATGAGAAAAACAGGTTTAGAAGCAGTTTGATGATATTCCAAAAAATATAAAACTTTGGGAAATGATTGTAGACATGATAATATGTGAGCAAGCAAAAAATTTGCTAAACAACTCACATGCAAAAGAACAATAAGAACACATGTGTATATATAATATCATTGTAGGCATCTAAAAATGCCTATAGGTGTCTGCACACAGCTTAAGAAAACGAGAAGGCGATGAACGTCATTAGCCAAGTCGAAGAGGATTATTTGAGTGAAAGAGGATCATCTAACGCCGACAAGCGTATGAAGCGAATCGGCGAACCGTCAATGACGTGACGACAAACCACACGCTCATCAGCCACCAGAATGGCAAACCAAGTGGCCTGCATGCTCACCAGCCACCGCCAAGTGGCCCGCACGCTCACCAGTCAGTTCCAA